TTAATAAACATTTACCTAACACTTTAATAAACACCTATCTATACTTCAATACACACTTACCTAACACTTCAATAAATACTTACCTAACACCTCAATAAACACCTATCTAACACTTTAATAAACACACATTTATACTTCAATACACACTTACTTAACACTTTAATAAATACCTACCTAACACCTCAATAAACACCTACCTAACACTTTGATAAACACATATCTATACTTCAATACCCACTTACCTAACACTTCAATAAACAAATGAACACAATAATAAACATGACCTTACACTTCAGCAAATATCTACCTATACACTTCAGTAAACACGTACTTAACACTTTAATAAACATTTACCTAACACTTTAATAAACACCTATCTATACTTCAATACACACTTACCTAACACTTAAATAAATACTTACCTAACACCTCAATAAACACCTACCTAACACTTTAATAAACACACATTTATACTTCAATACCCACTTACCTAACACTTCAATAAACACATGAACACAATAATAAACATGACCTTACACTTCAGCAAATATCTACCTATACACTTCAGTAAACACGTACTTAACACTTTAATAAACATTTACCTAACACTTTAATAAACACCTATCTATACTTAATACAAACTTACTTAACACTTTAATAAATACTTACCTAACACCTCAATAAACACCTACGTAACACTTTAATAAACACACATTTATACTTCAATATCCACTTACCTAACACTTCAATAAACACATGAACACAATAATAAACATGACCTTACACTTCAGTAAATATCTACCTATACACTTCAGTAAACACGTACTTAACACTTTAATAAACATTTACCTAACACTTTAATAAACACCTATCTATACTTAAATACACACTTATTTGTAATAAACACCTATCTATACTTCAATACACACTTACCTAACACCTCAATAAATATAAACCTAACACTTCAATAAACACCTACCCAAAACTTGAATAAACATCTACCTAACACTTTAATAAACAATCGCCTAACACTTAAGTAAACATTTAATTAACACTTCAATAAAAAGCTACCTAGACGCTTAAATAAACGCGTACCTAACACTTCAATAAACACCTATCTATACTTCAATACCCACTTACCTAACATTTTAATAAATGCTTATCTAACACTTCAATAAACATTTACCTAACATTTCAATAAATACCTACCTAACACTTTAATATACACCTACCTAGACACTTCAGTAAACACTCACCTAACACTTCAATAAACATTTACCTAGACACTTCAGTAAACACTTATATAACATTTCAATAAACAATCGCCTAACAATTAAGTAAACACTTCAATAATACCTACCTATACACTTCAGTAAACACCTACTTAACACTTCAGTAAACACATACCTAGACACTACAGTAAACACCTACCTAATACTATAGCAAGAGTCTTGGTTGCTTTTCTTTCCCGTTTTGCGTAAGCCTTTTCTCGTTTGTTACTACTACTTTTATGCTTCCGTCCGAGATTAAACCTCGAATTTTTCTTTGTAACGTTTAGATAAGTCATGGAGTCATTACTACTATCGTAATCAGGAGCCGAAGACAGGGTTTTTCTGGCTTCTCCATTTTTCGGTGGAAATGAAGGAGTCGAAGAATCTTTCATACATATTGCGATAGAGTTTTGTACACAAAACTGAGTCTCCTCAATTTGAGAAACAACATAACTAGAATCTGCTTTAACATTTTTTTTAGTATTTTCATCGTCTACGTTTGACATGTTGCTCAGAATAAAGTTGGCTGTCTTCTTATTCTCAGAATCTTGATAACGGTTTTTACTGTCATCTTTAACTTCTTTTTCATAGTCCTCATCTTGTCTTACATTTCCAGTCTCAGTCTGCAGATGTAGAACCTTGCCTTGATTTCTGTTGTTTGATGAATTGATTTCTTGCTGACACTGAGTTTGTGAAACATTTTCAATGATGATGCCAGGTTTTAAGCCAGGAGAAGTGAGAAGTCTCTTTCGTGAACTTTTCTTGGCTCTTTCGTGTATGGCTCTGAATATCCTATAGTAAAGAAATACCATAACAAGACAAGGAATGTAAAATGAACTGAGTGAGGAATAAATAATAAAATCGGAGTTGTAAAATATACACAACTGAGGAACCCTTTCTGGGGCTGTGTTTAGGCCTAATACTACAGGGGAACCAATGGCAGCCGACACCACCCAAACAGCAGCTATGGTTAAAGCCACTCTCTTGTTGTTCTTGTGTTTCGAGTATTTGATTGGCTGGGTCACTGCTATGAATCTGTAAAGTGATATAATACGTAAGTCTTAAAACAAAGATCTGTTAAGCCGTATTTATCGATTAAGTGCAAAACAAAATATAAAGCTTTATGAAAAAAATCTGACGAAATGACTAATTTTTATAGTTTTGCCAACAACAGTTATAACACATCTACAGCTATTGGGAAAACAATCTTATAGTTTTGCCCATAACAAACAACAGTTATAACACATCCACAGCTATTGAGAAAGCAATCTTATTAGAGTAATAACTCTTAACATTACTAAAATTCTCAGATTCCAGTCATTTTTTTACTTTAAGTATTTATGTATTTATAAATATATATTATACAAAGTAGAGTACGATCTAATAAAGAAACATTTTTATCATATTACAGTTTCTGTAGTTTTTATACAAGCGTTTAAAATAATTCAAGTATTATATTCTTTCATTGAACTTGCAAGACGTAATAAGCCTAAAAACAATACAACCAAAAAGTATTGGTAGTAGTAGTTTGTCTGTTTGTATTAAGCACAAATCTAAACAATGGGCTATCTGTGCTATGCCACTAGGGATATCAAAACCCAGTTTCAATGTTATAAGTCGCGGACTGCCCGCAGTGCCACTTGGGGAGGGGGCATCTATAAAAAAGAAACCCGCATAGAACACTGAAATATTGGGAGCATAGCTAATAAAAATTAGTTGGAATTTTCCAAGCTATATTATAAAAATTATATTGAAATTGAAGCATGAACTGGCTTAATATTGACAAACAGTTGTTCCTAATCAGGCACTTCAAGTTTCATGACCGAAAGTTATTCATTCCCAAGAGAGATATTTGAACTTTGAACAACCAAAGCTTTTACCAAGGACGTGTTTTGTTCCTAATCAGGCACTTCAAGTTTCATGACGGAAAGTTATTCATTCCCAAGAGAGATATTTGAACTTTGAACAACCAAAGCTTTTACCAAGGACGTGTTTTGTTCCTAACATCATTATTTATTTATTTACTTTCCATAAGTTTGGTATCCCTGTTGCTTTGCGCCAACAAACTCCAACCAACCATAAGTTTGTTTTGTTGAATTTTGGTGCAAAGCAACACGAAGGCTATCTGAGCCAGTGGTAAACTTGTCTTCAGCACAGAATGATTTCCGTCTTCAGCACGAACCTCAGATCCAAGATGTGGCATGCTACCCAACAGGCTCCTTTTTCCATAATATAATGGTAAAGCATATTTTATTACAATTTACAGCTTTTACTGGAAATGTATGACAAGATGAAAACTATGGACACTACCACCAATGAAATATCAGACCAAACCTAGCCGTTATAGTAGTGAGGTATCGAAACAGAACTAGTGTCGGCTAACAATAGGAAGAATGAAATTGTGGCGGAATACTACAAATTCTTCAAATACATATAGAATGATAGGTTTCTTTTTTGTGAGTGTAAAACACTTATATACACCAGTTAGAAATTACAAATGATAATTACAAAATAATATCAATTATAATAATTACCAATAAAAACAACTACACACGAAAATTTTGAAATAATATTAACATTTTTCTCATATACAAAACTGAAAATTCTGGCGAAAACAAAAGAAAGAAATAAGAGGCCCAGTCTATTCTTGGAGTTACCATATCGTAACTTAATGTGCAATACACCAGCCCTACATAGATAGTTTTCAGTATAAAACTTCAAGTAACTCATTCTTATAGATCAAGGAAACAAAGCAAGTACCAAACAGTTTGAACAGACGTTAGGACTAATTACACACAACAATAGCAAGAGACAAACAGTTTGAATAGACGTTAGGACTAATTACACACAACAATAGCAAGTACCAGACAGTTTAAAAGAGACGTTAGGATTAATTAAACAGAAAAATAGCAAGTACCAAACAGTTTGAAAAAAAAGTCAAAATTAATTACACAACAATATCAAGAACCAAACAGTTTGAACAGACGTTAGGATTAATTACACACAACAATATAAAGTACCAAACAGTTTGAACAGACGTTAGGTCTAATTACACACAACAATAGCAAGTACCAAACAGTTTGAACAGACGTTAGGATTAATTACACACAACAATATAAAGTACCAAACAGTTTGAACAGACGTTAGGTCTAATTACACGCAACAATAGCAAGTACCAAACAGTTTAAACAGACGTTAGGGCTAATTAAACATAACAACAGCAAGAATCAAACAGTTTGAACAGAGGTTAGGACTAATTACACTCAACAAGTACACAGTTAATTGTATAATCTTGTTTAGTTGTGATTTGCACTTAAAACTTGCGGATGAAATACAGCGATTCAAGAACGTTTTGAACTGAACATGATATGCTTTCACTTTCAGACATGGAGGTGGTATAAAGTGTCGGTAAAAAGTAGCATAAGAGTTGGCGGTAGGTTCTACCGGACGTTTGCCTTTTGTCAGTTCAGAATTAAGGACAACGACATATAGCCTTAGTAGCTTTACCACAAACAAACAAACTGAAAATCATTTTATCTTCCTAAAACTATACGCATTTTTGAAATAGTTATTAATTTATAGTGAACGTCTGGTGTTTGAAGCTGATTCTTAACTGTAAAACACATTTTAATAAACAGCTCATTTCATACACTGTCCTAGTTTTCCTCATCTATTTTCCTGAAACTAAGTATTGTATAATATTATTGATTTAATATTCAGGTCTGTTCATAAGCTGGATGTCAAAGGTACGTATATATTTGACTTAAGTTCAAATATTTGTTCGAATTATTTAAATATTATCGACACTTAATGCTTAGCGAAACTCAATTTATGTTCTGATAATTTTACAAATTTGACTATAGAAGAATTATTCAAAAATTCATGCATTTTGACTTGAAGAGATTTCAAATATATTTTAAGTATATATATTAACTTCATTGCACATATTAAAATATTACTCAATTAATCATTTATTAGGATTTGATATACTTACAACAAAAAAAGTTCATTCACAGATTGCGTTATAACCAAATTAGAAATATTTTAAAGTAATTTTACTCTGCTGTAAGAATGAAAAACACTCACATGTTTATAGTACTAGTTACAACATTAAAGATCGGTAATTTTACTCTGCTGTAAGAATGTAGAACACTCACCTGTCTATACTAATACTTACAACATTAAAGATCGGTAATTTTACTCTGCTGTAAGAATATAGAACACTCACCTGTTTATACTAATACTTACAACATTAAAGATCGGTAATTTTACTCTGCTGTAAGAATATAGA